CTCTTTGATATTGTGATTATTGCATACATCAATAGTTTAAAATTGTATTATATTTGTAAAGAGCCTTGATGGATATGCTTCTATTTTAACAGCTTGTTCTAAATAAGCCATGCGTATTAGCTTTAAAGTGTAATTTTTTTATTGTGTTACATGTATATTTGCTTGGTTTATTTATCATTCTTTTATTTCTTCAATAAGTTGTATTTTTGTATTGGTATATATTGTTAACACAATTTACGATAACATGCATATTTTTCCTATAAATTTGAGATAGATATAAAGTGAATTTTATGCTTAGTGACCTTTAATAAAAATTTTAGTAGTAAAATATGATACCTTCATATTTAAAGATCTTAAAATCTAACAGTACTATTATGTCCTTATCTTTGATCGTGTCTTTAAAAACTAATCATTTATTAGGTAGTCATATCCCCAAATAAATTTACTTACAGAGTCATACCATATATTGGAAAAAGAAAAATATCAATTATAATTTTTTTTACTTATGCTATTGTAACTAATTATCATCTATATACCTTTTGTCCATTATAGTAATTTCTCTCCTCTTATCTGGCTTATTATATCTCGCAACATAGTTGATCAATGACTTCACTTTAGTTTCTATTGTAAGATTATTTATATGTAATTTTATATTGAGTTTATAATTCATTTAGTATTTCAAGAATAAAGTAAGAAAAATTTATACATACGAACTAAATTTTCTTGTATCTTTCACGATGAATGCTTTTTTAATTGGTACAAAATTGTTAAACATTTCTTCAAGGGGGAACGCATCAGTGCTCTTTGCTAGATATACCTTTTGTCAATGTCAGTTCAAGTGATTCATGAATATTTTCATATTTTGGGTTTATTTACTTCACTTCTCTATTTTAAAATAAAAAAATCTTGATTTTTTTAAGGATGTCCCTGAACTTCCTGATAGTTTTTTCATGTAAAATTTCCTGTATTTTTTTACTCTATAAATATTATTAACGTCAAAGATGAATGTTTATACATTATAATCAATTAATGTTAACTTATTATATTATAGTCTTTTGTTAGTTTTATGTAATTTGGTCTTCTATCAATTAATTTTGTTACTAATATTATATACAGTTCCTTAAATTTATATAGTAATATTAATTTTTAATCTGTCATATATTTTTTAAATTTTTATTTCTTAATTGGATAGTTTTAATCTATCGTAATTGTTATTTTTTACCAGCGTCAACTTAGACTACTTTTAGATGCTAAAAAGGGATGATAAACTTTAAATTAAAACTTAAATTTATCTATCTTAATGAAATGATATCAAAAATTTACTATTTTCTTTGCCAAATTTTAGCCTTTTGTGATTTTAAACTTTTGAGGGTGTGCTTTGTAATTTTTTTAACTTTAATGTAATTTTTTTGAAAATTTTAAATTTTATGTTGGGTGTTTGTAATTTTTATGTTTTACGAGTTGGTGGTAAGTTTTTAAATGTTAAGATGTTTCTTTCAACTCTGAAATTTTGAGTGTGTTTTTTACAATTACTAAAACTTTGAGTTGTTTTTAATAAATTTAAATTTTTAATGATCTGTTGATAATTTTTAGATTTGATGTCTACCGGTTATAAGTTTTGAAATTTTAGGATTTTTGCGATTTTTAAATTTTGAGGGAGTTTTTGTAGTTTATGTAACTTTGAGGTTATTTATTATAAATTTTAAGTTTTTAAGTGCCTAATTGTAATCTCTAAAATTTATCTATGTTGTTTGTAAGTTCTTAAGTCACTGATTTTAAGGTATTTTTTTCTAATTTGAAATTTTGAGGTTGTTTCTATAATTTTAAAAATTTTGAGGGTATAATTATAATTTTTAAATTCCTTAGGGTCTATTTTTAATTTTTAGATTTCATATTTGTTGTTTTAAGTTTTGAAAAGTCGCGGTGTTTTGAGTAATTTTGAACTTTTAAAGATATTTTGTGTAATTTTTGAATTAAATCTTAATATTTTTTAAATTGCTAAGCTATAGGTAGTTCATGTGGGATTAATATAGAATATAATTAGTATTTAGATAGATTAAGATTTAAATAAAAAATTTAAAATAAATTTCCACGTAGTTTGTTAACCTTTTTTTAAATTGTTGAGCTATAGATAGTTTCTGTGGGATTAGATAAGATATAATTATAATTACAATAGATTAAAATTTAAATGTAATATTCAAAATAGTGAAGGGTAATATTGACCATAGAAAGATTTTCCTAAACTCGTGCTTTTAAAAGGAGTATGATATGATATGATCATGATATGAATTAGGATCGGATGATAACCTTTTATCTCTTTACTAATTACCTTAGATAACTAAATTTAAAGATAAAAACTAAATTTTAATTATGAATTTCTTATCTATGATCAATTAAATGTTTTCGCATGCAATGAAACACATACATATATAATATTATATATATTTAATTATTTTTACCATAATTTCTCATTTAATTAATTAATTAATTATTAATATTAATTAGAATATGATAACAATGTAATATGTAAAAGGATCAAAGGTATTTTTATTCATGGAAAGTTTTTTTGTAAACTTTTGACTTTTATAATTAAAGAGTACAATATGATATGATATAATGTAATTTTTATTTTCTTATATCATTGTAGGATAAGTTTCAAGTTTTTATTGACTTGAACGTAAATTAATTAGAATTCTAGCTTGGTGTATTTTTCAGTTATGTTGATAAGAAACTACAACAGAAATGTATTTTGATGACTTTGATAGCTGGGATCTTCTAGATCCTATATCAGAATACGGGGTTCAGCTTCTGTCAAAAGTTCGAATAAGCCTAACCACTTATTATTATATCATCAAGAACATAATATGTCGTTATTATATCTTTATCTCACACCCATTTTTCATAAAAATATTCTCTTATTAGTTTTATGTTTAAAGCGTTGTTTTTTTACACAAATCTTTGTTAGACTTTGAATCATGAAGTCGATGAGTGGTTTCTTTGCAGCTTATATAACATATAAATTTTATTTGTTTGAGACTCTCATTTTCAAATCTTTCTGAAATTGGAAGGGATATTGATAAGGCGAATTGACTACAATGTTAATCATATTATTTATGTAGTATGTCAACCTAATTAAGTATTAAGATAGAATAATCTGGTATCAGAATTTTTTTTCTTTCGTCAACATTGGCGATATAGGTGACTATACACCTACTGGAAAAGATAAAGGGTAAGTTATACCAAACCCCCAAGAATTTTCAGTGTTTTGCAGTAAACCCCCAGTAACTTTCAAAAGCACACTAGCTTCTAATAAAATTTTGAATTGCAGAAAAAACCCCATATGTTTCTGCTCCCATAAATTAGAACATAAAAAGTCATTTTGAAAGTAATCGGGCGTTTAGTGCAATTTGCACAAAAGATATTGGGTTTTCAGCAAATGTTATTGGGGATTTCGTGCCATTTTGAAAGTTCTTGAAGGTTTAGTGTAATTCACCCAAAAATAAAATTATATAAGTTGGCATCATCTAATCTGATTAATTACTAAGAATTGAACTCAGTTATTCTGCCAAAAAAAAAAGGGAAAGAAAGAAGAAGAGAATTGAACTCAGTTACAACTTGAATCTAAACTTTCAGACAATACAAGCAGATTGGATTCTATCACTTAGGAATCATAGCAAAAATTCATCATTCTAACTGCTATACTCAATGGTTCTTTCTCGACAGATGATAAGGAATGGATATGTACCTTGTAACTACTTGAGGTTGTAAGCTATTAGCTTTTAGTGCATTCTCAGTTCTAAAACTGAGCAGTGATGTACAGAAATTCTCATATTTGGAAGATGAATAAAATTTTCATTGACAAAAAAAAAAAAAAAACTGCTCTTGTGGTAACAGGACACACACTAAACAAAAATATATAAGACATCGTTATTTGATTAGGACCTGTTTGGTTCAATAGAGAGTAGGAATAGGATTAGGAATCCTATTTTATTTATGGATTCCAATCTAATCCATAAAAAATTTATAGACAAGTTTTCGTTTTATGGAATCCCATTTTTTTTGTATTCTATGTTTGTTTCACCCAAGGATTAGGAATAGGATTAGGAATTAGAATAAAAAGGAGGAGAGGTGTCAGAAATTCTACCCAATTCCTAGCAAATGGAGTGGATTTGGATTTCCTGAAATATACACTATTTAAGCCACTTTATAGATTAGCAATTCTATAAAAAAATTTTGAACCAAACTCAGGATTAGGATTCATTTGGAATCCATTAATTACGAAAACGCCATTGTCAGGTCCAAATACCATTCCTATTCCATAAAATTGGTGAAACAAACAGGCCCTTAACATAAAAGCTTATATTATTGCATGTTAGTCACGGATAAAATTTGATAATTGCAATCTTATATAAAAAAAAAAACTACTGCAGTGCCATGTTTGATATTCAAGAATTCTAACAATATTATTAGCTAGTAATAACAAGGAAAAAAAGAAAATAGATTAAAAAAAAGAACATTTATAGATTTTATCTGTGCGCAACCTGAGATTTGGCCTCATAAGTTTTCCTTTAATAAAAGATAAAAACCTTAAAAGTTTTTCAGGGACTAGTATGAGAACATCCATAATAAAAAAACTTAAGCAGTATCAGAGCTCGTTGGAGCAGAGAGACTTAAATAAATTTCTTAATAAGTAAGGAAACAGACTTTGAAGAATATCAAAATGGGCTTATCCCCTTAGATACATTTATATATTAACAGTCCAACCAAGCAACAAGAATTATATTGCAACTTCTTCCTCTATTTTTCAATTATTTTCTAGACTAATTAATATGCTGGTACCTAACTAGTTTTATTATTGTAGAGTTGTAACATAATCCAAATTCTTCTCAGGTTTAAATAACTTGTCTAAAGGATTAGAATCCTTCAAACTTATATTTGTAAATTATTTCTCAAAAATCTTGGCTCATTCCTTTGCAGTTTCTCCAAATAATTTTCTCTTGACCCCAGAGAAGATGAAGGAGAAAATAGGCAGAAATCTGCATAACAAAGTCTCAAGTCTACTATTATCACTTTAAATCCTTGTGGTCATCTCCATTAGATTCTGAAGGAGGAAACTTTGGCCTTTTCACAATGTTGCTGGCTTTTAGGGATGCCATTAGACTCACGACCAAGAAGGTATTTTTATATGATCATTTCTTTAATTTGATGCTAGTTCATCAATGTGTTTAAGTTTAGACCTTAATCCAATTTGGATTTTGGATATTGGAGATTGCTATATGTAGACCTTAGATTGATTCATATTTTTGTTTTTCATTTTTTTTGTCTTTGGTTTTTTCCCCTTCTTCCCTTCTCCATATCTGAAGGCTTAGATTAGGGTCTGTATTTATTGATAGATTTATTACTATTTTTTTCAGTAGCTTATTTACACAACAAAATATTCATTGATAGATTGCGTTATCAGTAGCATCACAATGTGAAAAAATGGAGTTAATTCTTTATTTCGATGATGGATGCTTATAATTTTAGAAAGCATAGAGACAGTGTTATAACCCTCAACTCTCGGCGTAACTTCAGAGTTTCTATATTTTTTTTAAAGAACATAAGAGCAACCCTGACTCAAATTCTACCAGTCACGTATAAAAATGTAACTCGCAATTTAGTAATCTGAAAAGGATTTTGAGAGTTATTCCACAATCACATTCATGCTAACTGTAGCTAGCATGCTCATATAGTAACGTGAAAATGTTAATGCAAAACAGGTCACATATGAAGAAGGCTGCCAAGATCCTAATCCTGATACACTAAAGCTACTAAAAGAGTTGAGCTTGAAGCGCAGGGCAATTGAAGAATCACTAAACAGGAGAAGCACCATTAAAGAGTCAGTTGCAGGTGAAATGGGAGAAGTTAATTACCAGGTGCCCCATCTGAATTGTTTTTAAGATTATTTATGGATACACTGTTCGTATTAGAGAGTCATAGCAACTTAATTATGACCTCTTTTGGATCCTCCCCACCGCCAAAAAAATAGTGGAGAGACCACTGTCCTTATTAGTAGTTGTTAATTTACTTAAAGCTTAGTTTGGATACCATGATATTTTTCTTATTGTGTTTTATAAAAAAAATATGTGTTATGTTTTCCCTTTAAAGTATTTTTAAAACACCATGCTGATTTCTTTTACCCAACACTTGTTTGACCCATTATAACATTAGTATTAAATATATTATAAATAGTAAATATAATACAATGTAATATTATATGGTACATTAGTGCATTATATTACATGGTAATTATTACATATTATTTTCAAATAAAAACATATTAATATTATTTTGGTATATCAACTTGTTATTGCTATACATTATATAATATTTTAAACTAATAATATTTTATTATTAAAATAATATTATACTATTTTTAATATATTATAATATTGATAATAATATTAATATTATTTTAATACTAGTAATGTTTTTAGGTTTAATTAATTTATTTAATATTTTAACATTATGTAATATATAATAATTTGTAATTTGTTCAAATTTATTAATATTACTTTAATAATATATTAATAATTATGTTATCAATAAATATTATTATATTATAAATACATTATTATTACATTAACATTTGTTAGCAATAAATTAATTTTATAGTATAATATATTTATTATATAATATATTATATTATATATTATATAATATACTAATATTTTATATATTATATTACATTTACTATATAATATTGCTATAATATATTATTATTATATTATTGTTCTATTATTATTTTATTATTAAATATGTTACTATTATATAACATTTTATACTTATAATTTATTACATATTATTTATTAAAAATTAATGATATTATAGTGATTATAATATTGTATAGTATATTCTTATATCATTATTATATCACTATTTATTATCATAACTTTTTATTTTTTATTAATTTATTTATATTTTATTATTATTTATTATTATGTTAATTTAACTATATTATTTTGTAATACATTATCAACATATTAAATATTAGCATTTAATTTGTTATTATATTATTATATAAAATATTTTAATTATCAATATATTTTATATTATTTGTGAAATATTACTAATATATTAGATTAACTATATTATAGTATAATATGATATAATATAGTAAGCATATGGACAATAACTATATATTAATTATATTTAATATATTATGTTTGATATTATATTTACATCTCCTCAAAGTCAAAACCAAACCATCAAAGTTAAAACACCTAAAAATGTGTTTAGAAGTAAGTGTTGTGTTTTTAGTTTGAGCATGGTTTAGCTCAAAAAACAACATTGTTTCCAAGCACATGATGTTTTGTTTTTGGCCAACACGCTATGGAAACAAAGAAACACCATAGTATCCAAACGAAGCCTAGCGAGTGGTTCTAATTTGTCTTTGAGTGTAGATTAGGAATGAGAGATCATCCACTAGACAAATCAACGGCCTTTAATGATTAACATGGTTAAAGCTCTATAGTGATAGCTATCGTGTGCAAGTCATGTGATAATATCTGAAGGGCGTGCATTTGCAACTGAAAATAACATCACATCCCATTTATATATGAGATTCTTTTACGGGAGTTTGGCAAGTTGAAAGTCAATTGAAAGTGTGAAAGCCACTTTTTCTTATATTTTCACGGTCACTTCAGCATTCAAGTGATATACAATATTTGTTTTGTAGAAACAAATTATTGTTGAAAGTAGAAAAGTAAAAATGACATGGAAGTATCATATTGTTCTTTATTCATTTAGAAAAAAAATCATATTTTTCTTTAAATCATTGTAGTAGTAAATTGTTGGTGGCACTTTACTAGATAACAGGTATATATACATGATTTCACAAGAATGGGTAACCTGTCAGAGAGGTTGTCAGTGTTCTTTTCTGACCATCAAACCATCAGAAATTTATAGAATGAGATCTAGATGAGCATGATAGCTATATCTCTAATTATCAAGCATTAATGGAAGAAAGACACGGGTTTGCCACCATGAAAAGATCCAAAGAACATAAATTGGATGAGTTGATGACATTGATAATGTTGTAGAGAACGAGATGTTTGGTGGGGGAAGTAAGCTTTCTAAGGAGAAGGTAGTTGCTCTGATGATGGGACTTCCCATGTTCACAGATGAGTGTTACAGGGGTCGAGGCTTGTTCCCAACTGAGGACCCTTCGAGGTTCAAAGCAATACTTAGAAGATAGAAATCGGAATCAAAAGATACTGACGATTTGAACTATACCACCACATAGATGCTGACGAGAGAGGAAATAGACATCAACTGTCGGGTCTTGGGGTTTCTTAACAATTGGCTTGGACCGTAGAATTTTATCCTAACAATATCACTCTCCTCCGTAACTCATTTTTGTTGAATACCTGATTCAAAATTAGTTATTAGGTTGTTTCCTATTTTTCAGGATAGTATGTTAGTAGTGGTTTAGTTGTTTACTTAGTCAATTGTCATGTGTTTTTTGAATTGTTTGTTGCTGATTTCTAGGAGTTTAAGTTGGTGTAAGGCCTATATATTTGGCGTTGCTGATTTCTAGGAGTTTAAGTTGGTGTAAGGCCTATATATTTGGTCATTCTCTCTGTTAGCAAAAAAAATAAGTAAATGAAACATTTTCTTTAATAAAACTTATATTCTTGTTTTCTCCTCTTTTTTTCCAACATGGTATCAGAGCTCCAGTTTTCTTGGGTTTGTGAGGATTTAAAAAAAATATAGAGTGATCAACCTTTGTTTTTAATGGCATCCAACAATTTTTCGCTTCCATATCCCATCCTCAATGGAGACAATTATCAATATTGGGCTATCAAGATGAAATCTCATTTGAAAGCTTTGAGTTTATGGGAGGTTGCTGAGAGTGACTATGAGCCGACCCCTCTTCCACAAAATCCAACCCTAAACCAAATCAAGAAGCATGACGAAGAAAAAGCAAAGAAGCCAAAAGCTCTCTCTTGTATTCATTCGGCCGTGTCGGACGGAATCTTCACAAGTATAATGACTTGTGAATCACCTAAGGTGGCGTGAGAGATGCTAAAGAAGAGTTCGAGGGCAACGATCAAACAAAATTGATGCAAGTTCTAAATATCAAAAGTGAATTAGAGATGCAAAAGATGAAGAAATATGAGACCATCAAAGAGTATGTCGGTAAGCTTATGGCTATTGTCAATCAAATTAGATTGCTTGGTGAAACATTTTCAAATGAAAGAGTGGTTGATAAGATTTTAGTGACAGTTCTCGAAAAGTATGAGTCCAAAATTTCCTCACTTGAAGGTTCTAAAGACTTATCCAAAATAACTCTAGTGGATTTAGTCAATGTCCTCAGTGCCGTAGACCAAAGGAGATCAATGAGGGAGGAAGAAAATGGTGAAAAAAAGTAAAGAAGCCTTATTAGCCAAGACTTCATCTTCAAAAGGGAAAGGCAAAGGCGTCCAATGCAACCATTGTAAGAAATTTGGCCATGAGGAGAATGATTGTTAGCATAAAGGAAAACCTCAATGTCACAAATGCAAGAGATTTGGTCATATCCAAAAATATTACTGATATAATAGTGAAGAACAAGCAAACATGGCACAAGCAGTTGAAGAATAAATTTTATTCTAGGAATCATGGTGAGATGTGCACCATGGAGAGATTGAGACAAGTGCTCTATCTAGGGGTGTGCAACGGTCGGTTCGGTTTGTTTGTGATTAGGGTCTTATGCTAATCTAATCCGATTATATGCCAATTAAAATTAATTAACAAGTTATCCTAGCAAGTATGAAATACAACAATATTTGTAAGCTAGGATAAGCAATATGAACAACAAAGAGATATATCCTATATGATAAAAGTATATATGCAAGGATATATAAACTAACACAAGATAATATATCCTACCAAAGAGATATACACTATGATACATGCAAGGATATGAAACTAACACAAGGGTAAACAAAATAAACTAGATAGTGGATCATATAAATAATGAGCTAATGACAATGGCGACAAGAAATATAAACATAAGTATAAATAAACGCCAAAGCACACTCAAACACAAGATATGATCACGGAGTTCGGACCTTCCGTCCTACGTCTCCGCTCCCCACTCCCGGGGAGAAATCCACTATCACAATCCGGTTTGGAAGCCGGAACTTCTACACACTCGGTTTACAAGTTCACCGAAAACTCTCACACAACAAACACTATGCAATCACACTCTACACCCACTAAGTGTTGGACCTAGCCGTGTCTTCCTCAAGTGCTCGGTTACAACCTCTCCCTAGGTTCGTCAACCGACGCCACTCCTCTTGGAACGATCCCTGACTCTCACCACACACTCCTCACTCAGTGTACAAGTGTATTACAAAGTGATTCTCACGATAAGCACAATATAACAAATGATTGTTCTCTCTAACAAGGTGAGAACTCAATTAAGCACAACTCAATGTTACAAACTCTCACAACCCTAATATACTATGTATGCAAATACAATAAGCTCAAAAGGGTGTGTGTAACAATGAGATAAAATCAAATCTAAACTCAATATAAAATGTTGACATATTAGTATTAGTTAGGACTTATTTGTAAGTTGTGTAAGGGGCCTATATAAAGCCCAAGAGATCTCATAATGAATTAAGGTTTCTATTTCAACTTGGTATCAGAGCCTTCTCCAAACCCTAGCCGCCGTCTCCCCCCCCCCTCCACACCC